GCGTCCCGGAAGAGGAGAAAGAAAAATGTGTGGTGGAGATTTGAGAATGAGTTGAGAAGAAGCTATCAAGGATGTGAAGAGAGAATGAGACAATTCTGGCTTTCAGTCAAGAATTGGCCACTAAAATTCCCAGAACAAAGCTATTTATCAGTAACCATGGCTACCTCTAAAGTAAACGGCAGAGTTAAATGTCAGACTAATTGTTTGCACGGAAAAAGGGTGCCTTCCTTTCGGTCCAAAGTGGAGGAAGTTCCATCCAGCTTACGTCATCGGGATGGTAAATACCCCAACTGGCCAAAAGAGACTTGTTGTCTCTTTTGAAAAAGATTCTTCCCCGATTCCTTGAAAAAAGAAAAACAGAGACACAAAAAAACAAAACAAAACATAAACAGCCACTTCTGATTTAGTTTGAACTTTGGAACTAATTCCAGAGCCAGACATACCAAGGCCAACATCCATCTAATTGCAACACTCAACTTTCCAACGAGAAGAATTTGATTGTCAACATTCACAAAGGGACGATGGGAAGCAGCTTTTTCTTGTCATGTTATGGGGCCACAACAGTGGTGTGGTTTCACACAGTTTCGCCTGAGAGAACCTGGAAGCACAAGAATGTATTCATGGCTGCAGACCTGCCTGCGGCTTTGGGGGGGGGGGAAGTAACAGAATACAGAATAACTGAGTTGGAAGGGACCTTGGAGGTCATCCAGCCCAACCTCCTGCTCAAGCAGGAGACTTTATACCATCCCAGGACAAAGGGCTGTCCAATTTATTTCACTTAGGATGCAGATTTATTTATCTTTTTATCTATAAAGACAACAAGGACTTTTCTTCCCACATATCTTAAAGGCTAAAACAAAGTTATTATTGAAAACTTGTTTATGATTATTCCATTGGCTGCAAAACTCATGCAAATGCTGCTATCCAGGTACATTTTGTGTCCTCTTCTCCTTCTCCTTCCTCCATTCCACAAACCCCTCTCCTTTCCAGCACTGATGATGTTACCCAGTTTGGTAATTAAACGTCTGCAATAAAACAACCAAACTCAAAGAGCACCAAGGACCCCTCGGTCCTCCTCCTTCTCATCATCATCTCCACAAACCCCACTCCTTTACAACATGGAGGAGGAGGAGGAGGAGGAGGAGGAGGAGGAGGAGGAGGAGGAGGAGGAAGAGAAGTGAAATTGTTTTAAGGTACAGTGAGTTTAGATCTTTTATTGGCCACCAAGAGACGGGCACCAAAGGGCTGGTTTTGGCCATTTTGGGATTCACCAGACATGGCAAACCGGTTGACATTCTATAGATTTCAATTCCTCTACCAGGAATTCAACTCACAGCCCTGAGATGACCTCTTTAGGCTCATTTTCACTGCTTATTTTCCGAACCTCAACGAGAATTACACTGATGTGCATATACACAATCCACATTGTTTCAGTTCTTGTGTCTTGCCCAGGAAAATAATAACAATAATAAAGTCTTAGCTGCGAGGCCAAGTCTTTTAACACTCCTCTAAACCGAAAGACGTCCAGAGGAAAAGATCTTATACCATTTCTGCTCTGGTTTAAATTAGGATGTGAAATATTTTCAGGGGAAGGAAAGCATGGCTGGAAGTATGTGTTCCCAAACAACCGTCTGCTGGTTACAGAACTCATCCTGGCCATTTTTGAGACTCAGCCCAGATGGTTTCCTTCTTTACAGGCAACTGACTGGAAAATGTGAACAGCTGAAGTAGTTTAAATAAGGTCCACATATACCTTCTCCCCTGGCCTTCAAACTTCTGGGGCTCTAAATGACCCTCAAGTTATCTGACTTCTACTAGTAGTTAGCACGAGGGGAGAAGTACGAGGGGACGATGGGGAAAAGAAATCTCAGCCATCGTTAATACAAATTATGCTGCTTGAAAAAAAAAATTCTGGTATCCTTTTTTTCATCGTCTTCTAGACTGATTTATGGAGAGCTAGCTGACAAACAGCAGGTCTTCTCCAACATGTCAAAGGCAGAATTGCCAGAGGGCAAAACGGTTCCCATCAGACCTCACAAAGGCATCAGATACTTGGAGATACTTCCAGCCAGATCCTGTTTAGTGAACTGGATGCTGGTTTGGGTTGAAGATAGTTACCAGAGTTGGGCACCTTTGGCAGAGAGATATATTTTTAATATCAGGAATTTTGTATTTTACTGTGTCCCCCCCCCCTTGGAATGGAACCTAAGTTACAAAACCGATTGCTCCTGGAATTATTGTTGGCTGTTCCTGAATTCAATTTAAGAGGAAGAGCAAAACATATTTTTCCGTTTATGTATAAAAATTAAAGGTCACGGTACTTGTTAGGGCTTTCCATTTGAGGGATAATTATATTTGCAAAAACCATTGTATTCCAAAAATGATTATGGCTTTTTTTGACATTTCTTTAACTAAGAAAGCTCTTAACGACACGGGAAAACAGATTTGCAGATTTTACACTCATGTATTAAGCCACGCATAAATTAGAAAATGTGTATGTTTCAAAACCCTCCTACAGTGGATGGGGACTTCCTATTGTAATGTTACATTTTACAAGTTTCCAACTGAAACATATTATTTCCATAATATTGATGAGATACATTTTTTTTTAAAAAAAATAGAGATTTAAGAATCACTTTTGTTTACTCAAGACGTGGATATAAACCCATTTAACAGGAGAAGGCATTCCAATCAACCAACCAATCAACCAGAATAGAGTTGGAAGGGACCTTGGAGGTCTTCTAGTCCAACCCCCTGCTCAAGCAGGAGACCCAGTCTTTTCTTTCAAACCTCCATTGATGAAGCACCCACAACTTCTGAAGGCAAGTCGTTGCATTGGTTAATTGAATTGAAGTGTCTATGAAACGTACTACAACATGAACAAAACTGCTACCACTAACTCTAAAATAACATTACTTTGAAGTAATGGCTCCAGCAATACAGGGGGAAAAAATGGGGGGGAAAAAACCACCGTAGCAATGTAGAATTGCTTCCTAAAATCAGCAATCTCTTCTTGCAAGGGACATATTCCAAATATTTCTACTCAGCTACGAGCAAATCGTATAAACGGCCTCTTAAATCTCAAAGCATCCAGCAAAATCCCTTCCCCTACATTGCGCCAGCCTTTGAAGATCGCTCTTTTTCTGTCAACGTGGCAAAACTGGACCCCAGGAGAAAAAAATGCCTTCGGAATCATGGCTACCGTATCAGTTTGCACGTTCTGGTTTGTTTAGTCTGCTTTAGAGACATATTTACACAGGTTTCTCCCGTTCCACGTTAAGCTTCCGAATGAGGACAAAATCAGGAACCCCTCAAGAGTATGTTGCCACACGTACAGAAGCAGGATACGACACAGCCACGCAATTTAAATCGCAGTTTAGACGACGGGGGTAATTTATATGAAGTCTAGAGTAAGAACACTTGCTTATGAGCAAACCTGCAGAATGGATAATGTTGAGAAAGAAAAAAAGCTACGAAGATTAGCCTAGCTTTCGCTCGATTAAATTGATGGAAGAAACAAAACCAGGGGATCAGCGTTGGCATCTTGGCAGGCCTAGATTTAGGCAGCAGGCCAAACCAACATTGATTTTTCCACGGGGCAGCATCAAAGGAATCCCTCGGATATTTGCTGGAATGCCAGATCCAGATCGATTCGTTTTGCACATTCTGGGTAATGTATGCGCCCCACACAGCCTGGAGGTGAAAGAACTGGTTTTTAAGCCCCTGGATTACGCTCTTTTATGTAGCCTGTGGTTAAAGAGCAGCCAGGCCAGGTCAGTGGGTTTCAGAAATATCAGCCTAACAAAGAGGCACTGAAGGAATACCACCCAGGATTATTTCAATGTGGTCAGTGGGCCAGGAAGGAGGCAGGCTTGGCTTGCAAAATTCACATCAGTGCCAAACTTTTTCGGGTTGAGCCCAGGGTCTCAGAAACCTTCGGGACCGTAAACACGTTTCAGTGTGGTGTGCGTGTGTCTACACAGCTGTACTTGAGAGAAATAGGTGGTTGGGGGGGGAGTCAAGTTCTGATTTACACTTATCCCCCTCCGCAAAAGGACCTCCACCAGGAGCAGAAATCCCTGAAGAGTTGTGCATATATTATTCTGACTGCCTAGGATTTTCAAAAAGAGGTGACTAAGCTTGTTGGGGTTTCCTCCAACCCCCCCCCCCACTTTCCTATCCCCTTTTCCTGCTGCGTCATTTTAAAGATGATAAGCCTGTTGGCAGAACCTCTGTTTTTCTAACTGCTGGTTTGGAAGGTCTTGTTCTTTGTCAAAGAATACAATTTTAAACATATTTGAATCAGGGAACCATCTATCTATCTATCTATCTATCTATCTATCCATCCATCCATCCATCCATCCATCCATCCATCATCTGCCATTTTCTTGAAGTCCTGTTCTAAAGGCCTGTGGAAGCCATACATCCATATCTATCTATCTATCTATCTATCTATCTATCTATCTATCTATCTATCTATCTATCTATCTATCATCTATCTATCTATCTATCTATCTATCCATCCATCCATCCATCCATCCATCCATCCATCCATCATCTGCCATTTTCTTGAAGTCCTGTTCTAAAGGCCTGTGGAAGCCATACATCCATATCTCTCTCTCTCTCTCTCTCTCTCTCTCTCTCTCTCTCTCTCTCTCTCTCTCTCTCTCTCTCTCTATCTATCTATCTATCTATATCTTTCTTTCTTTCTTTCTTTCTTTCTTTCTTTCTTTCTTTCTTTCTTTCTTTCTTTCTTTCTTTCTTTCTTCATCTGCTGTTTTCTTGAGGTCCTGTTCTAAAGATCTGTGGAAACCATCCATCTATCATCCATCCATCCATCCATCCTCCAAAATCACATGACGCTGGGACACTGCAACTGTCATAAGTATGAAACAGTTGCCAAGCATCTGAATTTTGATAATGTGACCACAGGGATGTTGCAACTGGTCCTCAAGTGTGAAAAACGGGTCTTAAGTTATTTTTCCCAGTGCCGTTGTAACCCCGAACGGTCACCAAATGAACGGTTGAGAGTTGAGGAAAAGGAACTGAAGTGTAGTTGAGATGCCGAGCAGACATCTGGATGGTTTGGTATGAAAAAAAACAACCCACGATGGTGATCGCAAAGCAGAAAACCCCAATGGAGGATCCCAGCCGATGGAAGGATGTTTGTGAAACTGAATGGCAGAGCAGGACGATGTCTGGAAACTCACCTGCCAGGTCTTCTTTTGAGGAGATCAGCCGCGGGGAGCTGTTTCCCGGCTCAATTCTTAGGGACAATCTGGAAAAAACAGAAAAACGATGACGTGAAAAGTCGGCGGCCGGCTGAAGCGAAGGCCAACGGGACAGGCGTCTTATCTCTCGTGCGTTATCGCTGAAAAGCAGGAAATCTATCTTAGCCTGGATGTGTTCAGGAATTCTTTGGGCACAATAGGTTTTTACTGAAGTTATGAACAGCTTCGTCCTGTGAAGCTAAGCAGAGTTTTCACAACGGCACAGACCAACTTATCTTTATTTACAAAGCCATTTTAGCAAGCGGCAAGGCACGCAAGGAAGGCCGTTCTTAGGCCGGTCAGTTTCAGCATTTAAAACGTACGAATCCTAAATATAGGCAAGTGTAGGGTCTTCATGCTAGCTGACATTGTTTTAATCCGCAACCTCAAAGGATAAATTTCCCCCTAATGCCAGGGGTGGTTAGTCGATTGTTACGCAGGCCTCTTTTAACCTCATTTGGTTTTGGAATATTTTCTATCCTGTTCTACTCCAGACTTGTATTTATCCTTCCCCCCAAAAACCATGATTTTTCTTCACAGAAAAGATTTTACAGATCGACTCTCTGGCCTCTTACTGGAACACATTCTTGGCTGCTGTGTGCTGTTTCAAGGTGCTACCTGAAATTTAAGGAATTTACAAACGATCGCCTTTTCCCTTTTTTAATATATATATATATATATTCATTGCACACAATCGCTCATATATTGGCCAGAGCAGAAGCCACAATAAGAACACTAAAATTTCAGAGTGTGCCAAACATTCATTTTGATTTCTGCTGCAACATTTTCTGGGGGGGGAAAAAGACCAACAAACTGAAAAAAATGTTCATCTGGTTTAAAGGAACTCATAGCCATAAACATTTGTTTGCTTTGGTTCCACATTTTTTATTTTGTTCCGTTTTGGCAACTGCGCACCCAAAGTTTAGATCCATAAAAAGAAAATCCTATGGAACTGAAAAGCTTTAGGACATACTTCACACCCTCTTTAAAAATAAATACCCTACGGAGAAAGCTGTTTTTTGATTTGGCTCGACTCATTTGAACTTGCAGAGCTAAGGAAATAAAATATTGTTCCAGACAGCTGCCATGATGGAGCATGAATGGCACACCAGATTCTGGCACACAGATTCTCCGCCTGCGATGTGTGCTTTAAATAAAGTACATCACATTTGCTGAGGTTTGAACTGATAAATTCTTATCATTCCTCTCAAGCAGGAAGGAAGGCAAGAGAGAGAAAGAGAGAAAGAAAATAGAGAAAGAAGAGAAAGAAAAGAGAAGAGAAAAAGAGAAGAGAAAAACAGAAGAGAGAAAAAAGAGACAGAAGAGAGAAAGAAAAGAGAGAGAAGAGAAAGAGAGAAAGAAGAGAAAAAAGAAAAAGAGAGACAGAAAGGAAGAGAGAGAAAGAGAAAGAAAGAAAGAAAGGGAGAAAGGGAGAAAGAAGAGAGGAAGAGAGAGAAAAAGAGAGAAAGAAAAGAGAGAGGAAAGAGAGAAAGAGAGAGAAGGAATGAATATTGCTTTGGAAATCAGAGAGTATTTTTAAATCACCTCCTGTGATTGACTTTCTTTTAGCAACCCTTCAAATTGAATGTTTTTAAACCATAAGAGGGAAAACACACTCTGCCTTGAGTTCAAGTAAAAGTAAGTTTGACATTTCAGTCAAACCAAATAAAAGTTACACGGCGTGACTCACACACGTACCAGGCAAATACCCCCTTTCAGATGAAATGAATACTCAGCGTGAAGCAATTTTTATTTTGGCAACCTGAAATTAATCCAACAACTTTTTCCATCCAGTTTAATAACCGTTTGGCAATTTTACCAGTCTGTAGTTGATCCTCACCTTCTGGTCTCCCTCACCTCAAACAGTCCTCGCTTTACGACCACAGCTGACCCCCCCAAACTTCCATGGCTAAGCAAGGCAGTTGTTAAGAGAGTTTTGCCCCATTTTAACACCTGTCTTGCCATCGTTGTTAAGTCAGTAACCCAGCTGATTCCATCGCTGTCTATAGGGGGCGAAACTTTGGCCCCCTCAGAGAGGGCTCGCAACTTGGGTGTCCTCCTGGATCCGCGGCTGACACTGGAAGACCATTTGTCGGCCGTGACCAGGGGGGCATTTTATCAGGTTCGCCTGATCTACCAGTTGCGCCCTTTTCTGGACCGGGATGCTCTGCGCACAGTCACT